AACGGAACATTTGTATTCTACAACTGACACACAGTGTTCACAGTATTCAAAAGAAGCTGATATTCTCTTTGATGATTTTTAATACATGTTCTGTTTTATAACTGTGCTTAGTTGTAATTGTTTTGAGCATCAAAATAGTATAACGTGAACTGTGTCAGCTAATCAGATATGGATCATCACTGCACTGCGCTCAAATACTACAGTTGTGTTTACAAATGCAGACTTGTTCTAGAATCAGTGTGTGTGTGCGTGCGTGCGTGCGTGCGTGCGTGCGTGCGTGCGTGTTTTTTTGCAGTGCAGGGAGCGTCAGGGGTTAAAAGGCTAAACGGCAAGGATCATTGTTCTCAGTGAAAGGCTTCTTTGACGAACCCTACAGGGACGAGTCCACGTACACACACAGACAAAAGGCAGCAGCACTCTTGATCCTATTAACAAACACACGGACTGGGACAGAGGGTGTGTGTGTGTGTGTGTGTGTGTGTGTGTGCACGCGTGTGTGTGCACACGCGTGTGTAAAAGCAAAGAAAAGCAGCCCATCAGTAGGCCCATTGCATTTAAATGGCTGCCACTTGCCACTTATTTTACAGCAGGTGCCGTGATCACACACAAAAATCCACATACACTATCACTGTCCAGATGCAGTGACAAAATGTCCTCCACAGCTTGCACAGCAGATGATATCTCAATGGACAGGCAGTCATTTTTCTGATTAGCTTGTATCACTCAGTGCAAGGCCTTCCATATTTGCACACAGATACTGACACTGCCATTTACATCTCACGATAGATTCAAAGAGGTGCCATTTTCTTTTGCCCACCTTTGTTGCTGCAGTGGTACACTCCAAAATTGCTTGACCAGGACATGCAACCTGACAGTGGAGTGGAGGAGAGACAGCAAAAGTAAAGATGAGTGGAAACTCAGAGAGAGGGAGCAGCAGAGACAGAGAGAGCGATGTTCCACCTCATTCACTCCCACTCATGCATCTCATAAAACATGCCGACACCACTCTTCCTCTTCTCTTTTCATCATGTTGCAAATACACACTTCAAGTCATCCACAAACCTTTTAAGTACATAGAACAGCAGTTACCCACCATCTTAGGTTGATATCTATTTGTTTGGGCTCATTTCATCTATGAAAAGACATAGGGCTGGGTTTCCCTGTATATAATTTTATATCACGTCATCACTCTGAAAAAGCTACTGAGACTTGGTTTTGTTTAAATAACAGACAGGAATGCGACAATATGGCCTCATGCACCCATATTTAATACTATGTAATGAACAGTATAGCAAAGTTGCTGTCAGTAGGAATTTACATCATCTCATGTTATTTGTCATGATATAGCCCTCCACTGAAATAACTATATATCATGTGTTTGGTCCAGGAAAAAAAAATACCTCAGCAATTCCATACTAGATTTTAAAAGACAAATGCCATCTTGTCTACAGAGCCTTTAAAAACATAGATAAAGAAAGAATACCTTGTGAAGGGAAATTATTATTAGATGTGAAATTTATAATGTGAACTGTGTCAGCTAATCAGACATGGACGCAGTGATGTAGCCTACTCAAATACTACAATTGTGTTTAAATGCGGACTTGTTCTAGAATCATTCTCAATGTGTGTGTGTGTGTGTGTGTGTGTGTGTGTGTGTGTGTATGTGTGGAAGGGGTGGGGGTCTTGGCGTTGGTTTGGTGGCCGGTGCAGCGTGGGCACTGTGTTGTTATCTAGCTACTCTGCAGGCAGGACACGCCTTCTCTGGGCTCCCTCTGTGCTCTGTGGTTCTGCTGCAGCACCCTTCACGGCATTACATCACCCAGCAAGAGAGCACCCCACAAAACGCCTGCAAACACACCGTGCGCAATCTCTCTCTCTCTCTCTCTCTCTCTCTCTCTCTCTCTCTCTCTCTCACTCTCTCTCTCACACACACACACATTCCCAGCATACACATCATTAAATGAAAATCATATATTCCACCCTGACATGCTCAAATGACTGCAGACAAAATAAATAAATAAATGAAAAATACACATGCATGCCAAAAACCAAAGCCTGGATATACACCTCTCCATCAGATACACACACATTACTACAAACACTTCACCGGCGAACACACCCACAAATACCTCGCCTCTCCCCCACCAGCAAGGCCTTTAACATCACGCTCTCTTTTTCATTGTGGCAAGGACTTTTTCGTCATGACTGTTTCGTTTTTCATATTTTTAAATAATGTTTCTTTTCTCAATACACGAACGGCTCCTTCAGTAGAAATAAACTCTATGAGATATTACATGCCTGTGCATTTGAATCTGAAATAATTATAACAAAAGGCAGAGGCATTATCTTTTTTATTTCATTTATATTTGGACACCTTTGGCACAGCAGATATTTTCGACACGGAATACAGAATATTTATGGCTTGGTAATGTCACACACTATTGCACCTTATAAAAATAAAAAACGAAAAGGGCGACAGCAGTAGGGGCAGAAAAACGACTGTATTAAAGAAAAGAGCATTCTCTAAAATCCTGCGCAATTTGACTCTCCCCGCCCAAAGGGATTAGTGTTACCTTGAGAGCCCTTGGCTTTTTGCGCCTGATTTGTCAGAGCAGTTAATCGGCTGCCAACCAGAACAGAAAAAAAAACAAAAAATAAATAAATAAATAAAAACAGGACAGCCAAATTGCCCAAAACAGCCTCCATCCTACCCGAACATCCCCCACACAGCCTTAAAAACAGGGGAACGGAAACCGAGAGGGAAAATTAAATAAATTAAATAGAGAGGGGGCTTTCAGATTTTGCAGAAAATACGCACCGTCCATGAAAGCGACATTACACTCATAAAGATTTACATTATTATACCCCCTTGCATATAGCATCGTTTATGTATCAGTTAGATGACTGAATAGTTGTTAATAATGACCTTACATTTGAAATCATATTTAATATATTCTAGTCTGATCATTTTAATTTTCAGCAATGCAGTAAAAAGATTTTGAAAAAAAAAGATTATCTATCTATCTATCTATCTATCTATCTATCTATCTATCTATCTATCTATCTATCTCTATCTAGTTGTTTTTTTTTCGAAAGGACAAATTGTTTTCTCTCTCGTGACATATGCTATAAAATAGTTTTCTGTGCTTTGATGTTGGAAATGATCGTCTTAACGGGTGGTGATGAAGCACCTTTGGGCCCTTTGCAGTGAAAATAGACGCATTCTCTGGGTGGGTCACGCCCATTCTGAAGCCCGTTTTGGAAAAAGCCTGATTAGGAATTCCCCATGCATAAATGCCCAAGAATCATCTAATCCTATTAACTCTTAAAATCCGACACATCGAAATGCAGCAATGAATAAAAAATATAATTGTCATTCTCTTGCCTGTATGAATTCGCAACGATTTAGACTCTGTTACGTCAGTTAAACTGAAGCTGCTGATCAATTTCAGACAAGTGTGTAGATAATAGCGTAAAAGGAGTCATATAGACAGGAGACTGAAGCCTGGACACCTTCCTGCTTATTTAGTGGCAGGTAATGCATTTCTATGGCGCACTGCATAAGGCCTCGTATTTTCCTGAAATGACAATGGCCAGATTTGCTGTATAAATGGGACATCCTGCATTCGTCACAGTGTAAAAAACAAACTGCAAAAAGACAGTGCTCATTTTAATTCAAATTGCTGTCTATAAACGGATTTGAGCCTGATCTACAAAGCAGGCCCAGTGGCTTTTCAAATGTGGATATGTTGAAGGGGGTAACAAATGTTTGTCATCTTAAACTGCTCCATGAAATGCAGTTTATGGGGAGAAGAACAGTCACATTTCAGCAGTCCTGCCTATGCCCCCCATCCCCGGACTCCATTTGATTAATCAGGGAAGCGAAATCATCCAAATCATCATTTCGCTACAAATGTTTTTGTTTCCCCAACACAATCACTCCAACCTCACCCTTTAAAAAATACTAACGAATTTGTTTAATTTATTTCGATATTTCGAAGAAATTTTGATATGAGAAGACAATTTTTAAATGATTTTTTTTAGACCTCAACGCTCTTGGTTGATGGCTTTAATAACATGAGAAAACAGTGACATCCGTTTGATTCATCTCAAAATGTGTGTACAAACAGCGGCCAGCAGTTGGATTTTGGAATCCAGACACAGAGAGGAAAAGGGATGATGGAGGAATGTGATGGTAATTACATAGCGAGAAACTGTGTATGCAGCCCGCTGGTGCGTGCTGTCCATCTCCGTTAACACAGAAGGTCATGTATCAAACTGCATGTCATACCGCTCGAATTACATCGAAATATGCATCTATATTTAAAGAGTGTTTGCTGGGCGGAAAGGGCTGTGCGCTGCGTGTCAGGGCGCATTTGTTTGACATTTTAACACGAAGCTGCAGACGACAACAATGCGTGGACACTGGACACCTGGCGTTCATGCTATACATTATTCATCATCCCCAAAACAAGGTAAAGGAAATCTATTTACGTCGCGGTTTACGTCTTTTTGGAGTTAGTGTCCTTAATATTTGACACACAGGCGTGGTTTAAACGCTGCATGGACGTATCTGCAAGATAAAAAAGAAAATTGATCATTCATATTGTAAATATTGCCTTGGGGGACCGGAGAAGAGCAGAGAGGACGTGTAATTCTATACCCGCCTGTCACAGTGCCTCTGTTCTACCGGGGGAATTAAGAGGCCAACATGGCAGAAATTGCTATCCTGAATCCTACAAACGCCGCTGTTCCTTCAGGACACGCACACCTGCTTCGGCTCGACATATCCACCGTTTCGGTGCGCGCAAACTGGGGGAAAAAAGTCCTGTAAAGTGGCAAGTTCCGCCATACCTGTGTGTCATGAGTGAAAACTGCAGCCCTTTCTGCCTCATATTTCCTCTGGCCCCTGCTCCTGTCTCACTTCGTTCAATTCGGAAGGGTTTTCTACACGGACAGGCAACATGAACAGGTTGGAGTAAAAAGATGACGCTACTGACCTTAGTTAAACACACCGCCGATTGTATCCAACTGCGAAAATCCAGCTGTAAACTCCACAGAGGCGTAGATTTTAAAATCCAGGATCCCTCTAAAAGCAGCAGTGTTTCCGCTGCTGGTGCGGGGCGGTGAGCACCAGGCGTTACCGGGCTGGGTTTATCGTTCCTCACAGGTGCATCGACCACGGTGCATCAAACGCACAAAAGCCGCTATTAGCTCGGTGCGACTTGCAGCGGCTGCAGGCAAGAGGCGCACCACGCATACAAACGCGCACACGCGCGCCACTCTGGTCCGCCCTCTACTCACTACACGCCATTTAAAGGCGTACGACGGTTCGTAAGCGGGCCCGACACACACACACACACACACACACACACACACACACACACACACAGTCATTTCCTCCTTAAATAAAATGAGTGCCCATAATTGTTCCTGCAGCTATCTTGTATCCACAGATTTTCAGAGTGTTCTCACTTTGCTCATTTTTAGTCACTATTTGTGTTGGTGATGTATAGTAGCCTATGTTACACAATTTCCCTATTGGTATAATCAATCAATCTTTATTTATATAGCGCTTTTCATACAAAAAAATGCGACACAAAGTGCTTCACAAGATAAAAAAAAAGCAATGAAAAACCCGCCCCTCCCACCCCCCCACATATAACACGCGCGCGCGCGCGCGCACACACACACACACACACACACACACACAGAGTACTCACTAACTGTCCGTATAGTAACATGGCAGGGCACTGAGGCACCAGGTGATGAAAAACTACCTATGGGGAGCTCATCCACACAAGAGGCGCCACAGCGGACGGCCACAGAGACCACCCCAACCCAGACAGACCGGGGTAGACTCCATACATGGTGCAGAGCCCCCCAGTCCTCCGGGCCCAGGGGATCTCCAGGACGGCGTCCCCGCGGGCAGACCGGACACACCTCTCAGTGTGGAGGCCCCCCATGGGGAAACACTGGAGCTAAAAACTAAAAGACTAAAAGACAATGGGATAAAAACAGCAAAAGATAGAATAATGATAAAATGCATAAAGAAATTAAAGATTTAGAAAATTTAAAGATTTAAACATTTTAAAAAGTTAAAAATTAAAAATAATTTTGCATAAGGATTTAAAAGTAGATCATTAAGAAAATTAGACATGAAAACATAAATAAAATTAGATAAAAAAATAAAATAAAATATAACAAAAGAAGAGAAGAAGAAATCAGTTAAAAGCCAAACTGAAAAGGTGAGTCTTGAGCCTCCTTTTAAAAACATCAACAGTCTTTGCAGTCCTGATGCTCTCTGGCAGGGTATTCCACAAGTGTGGGCCATAATGGCTGAATGCAGCCTCCCCGTGGGTTTTTGTTCTGACTTTTGGGACGATTAAAAGGCCGGTGCCAGAGGACCTCAGGATCCGCAAGGGTTGATATGATAAAAGCAGGTCAGATAAATAAGATGGCCCAAGACCGTTAAGACATTTAAAAACGAATAAAAGAACCTTAAAATCGATCCTGAAACACACAGGGAGCCAATGCAGTGATTTTAAAACTGGTGTAATGTGCGCCCGCCCTCTGGTCTTTGTCAGCACACGTGCAGCTGAGCACAGAATGAAATTTAAAGCAGTTAAATTCATTCAGTTCATTTGCACTAACTTTCAACACCATTGGGCCAGGTCTATATTTGTACATCAGGAAACAAGGTGTGTTTGTAGAAGCAAATATTAGGCCCCCAGAAGCCTTTTGAACAAAAGGGCCATCAAGATGCTCTCTGTAATTAGCTATTATAATCATCATCATCATCATCATCATCATCATCATCATTGTTGCCAGAAACTGGATCAGAAAATCTTGGGAAGAGAAGTTATAGTGACAAAAGAAAGGAGATGGAAAGTATAAAGACTACAAGTCTGAGGGGCTCACTAGCTATAAGTCTACAGTCTTTAATTCTGTCTTTGACTTCGGTCTTTCAAGTCAGTCGGCCTATCAATATATCCAGAAAATCTCATTCCAGTCACAGGTCATATCAGGTGTGGTGATGAAGGTGTGGGTGACAAAAGCTTTCAAATGAGGGGAAAAGTTACTTTATTTTTTATAATATTAACAGTGCAAATCAGAACTGACATAAAGTATTGCTATCAGTAACCACAGCGGCACAGCCTTATTTAAAAAAGAGTTGAGTTGTATCTATTAAGTGTTGTTTACAGCCGAAAAGCTGCATTTTTATCAACACAACAAACTCAGGCACAAAATGTCTACTGATTCCTCATGTGGTGTAAACGGTTTAGTTTAATTTTTCTCTTTGTAAAATATTTATCTGTTTTTGAATTAACTGAATGTAAAGCTCAGGTGATTGGATTCTTAAAGCATCTGTTTAAATTATTATCAGCTTTCAAATAATTCTAATGCCATGCATTTTTGTTTGGGAAAAAAACTAATGCATTCATTAAGAAAAACAGGCATTGCATGAGTTTCTTTCAGCCCTTTACTTTTGATATCCCTGCGTCAGATTCATAAGGGCATGCAATACTGTCAACCCAATTACTCTGACTTAAGCAACAGGTCATTAATTGCAAAATGACCCATGTGAGTGTTTTCTGAGCTGGTTAATAGAACAGAACAGAATAGAATACAAAGCAATACAATACAATACAATACAAGAGAAAACACACTACTCTATTTTTGTATGTAAAAGGCAGAAATTAGTCTTTGACTTGTATGGAGCCCCTAAAATCCCAAAACGTTTTTTATATTGTGTGCACAAAGTGAAAAATTTCACCTTTCAGGACTTTAGAAACTCTGTATGTTTGCATGTGCATGAAGTGCTTTTTAAAAGGGTATGTTAAAACACATACATAAAATACTCCTATCAGTAGCCCCTATCGGCAGAACAATGGTTAATAGAGTACTATACCTCCCAGACTGCATGGAATCCCTTGCACTCAAAAAAAAAAAAAAAACTCCTTGGATGAACTAAATTAAATTGCAGGCAGGTTTTCTATTCAATACATATATATCGCCCCAACTCAAACCAAGTCACTTTTTATTAAATACAGCTAAAAAAAAAAAAAAAGATGCAATATGATTTAATTGAGTTAATCCACGTTATTTTTTTTGTCAATTTTTGTCGCTAGAATAAAATCATCACATTAAATAAATGAATTTGATTTACTCTTGTCCAACTCAAATAATTACTATTAATTGGAAATGGAATGAGATTCAGTTCTTTTTTATTTGATCCCCCAATAAGACACAGATGAGACAAAACCTGGTTGAGGTATTTTTTATTGAAAATGCTCAGATAACCAGCCTGTTCAAAACCAACAATCCATGACACCAGTGTGCCTGTATGTGTTTTGTTTTGTTGTTGTTAAAAATAACAACTACTTATAAACAACCTGAGCAAGAACTGAAACCAACAAAAACTCAAACATTTCAATATGGCAGATGACAGTAATCCTCAATTTAACATCAATACTTGAATACGCAACAGCAGATATTAATCCTTTTGCTTGAATGTGTAAAGCAAAATATTTTTGTAACTTGAACATGCACAGCAAAATATTACCTTTTACTTGAGTACATAACACAAGATATTAACCTTTTTACATGAATATACACAGATTGATATTAGCTTTTTTCATTTCTCCTTATTAATTGCCCTGGAAATAGCACTACCATAACAGCTAGTGAAAAATGAACAATCAACTATGCCAAATCCCCCAGCACCACAAACAAAAAAAACACTATGGAGGTGGAGACTTTACACTGCTCCTCAAACAGGGGATGTCACTGGGTGGTTTTGACGTGTACAAGAGTGCACTGCACATGCCTATATTTGGTACTTGCCTAAGTGTAGTGTAGCCATTTGCCTAAAACCTACCAACAAGAAAAGCAAAATAAAAATTCCTGCAATCTGCATGTACCTCCAATTTGGCAAATGCAAAACTCACTGCTTTGGCGTGTCATGAGTGGTACAGCTTTGTATTCTTTCCCTGTAGTACGGACGGTCAGTTCAAACAAGGTCAGTTTGTAAATTTTTCATTTACACTGAAGAATAGCTTTTGATGTATTATCATGGGAACTAACAGAAACAGGTAGCATGGACCACTTGGGTTACCAAAACAAACAAACAAAAAAAATTGGAATGGAATACTAATCCTAAACCCCCATCAGCCATTACAGAAAGCAGTTATAACAAGTCGGTCCACCCGACATGGTTGTACACATACATTCATCATTATATTTATACAGAAGCTTGCAGTCATATGTAAAAGTTAAGTGATTTACAGTCCCTTGCCTGGCTCTGTGCTGTCAATTATTTCAAAATTCCAGAACATAAAAAATATCTATGACAAAACATCCAGTGCTGCTAAGAAAACTTGGCAGCACACCTTTGTCATCTGGTGTTCACCTCTTAGGCAAACTACTTGATTTTCAGCCACTGTATCCACAGGTGTACTTGAGGTAGTCGGGGAAGCTTAGAGCAAGAGCATAAATGTGCCCAAACACCATGATGTTTGTTCTTTATGTGGCTCCTCCAAGAATCACCACCTTATCGGGGTGGAGGTGTTTGTGTGTCCTTGTGAACTTGGGAGCTGTGTTGTTCGGGGCTAATAGTCTCTGGTAGGGTCTCCCAAGGCAAAGTGGTCCCAAGGGAGAGGCCAGACCAAGAGCGATTCAAGAAGACCTTGATGAAATGGATACTTTGGACCTTGAGGACCTCGCCCAGTATGGGGACACTGGGCCCCCTCCCCTGGAGCCAGACCTGGGCTGGGAGCTCATCAGCGAGTGTCTGGTGGCCGGGCCTTAGGCCATAGGGCCCGGTTGGGCTCAGCCTCAAAGAATAACATGGAGCAGTCAGCCTGTGGGCCCACCACCCACAGGGACAGAAATCAGGGTCTGGTGCATTGTGTGCCAGGCGGCAGGCAGGGGTGGGGCCCTGGGTGTGCTGATCCCTGGCGTTGTGGACTGACTCTGGGCACGTGGAATGTAGATATAGTTGGGCTCACCTCCATGTGCAGCACTGGTTCTAGAACCAATCTCCTGGAGAGGGGCTGGACTCTCACTTTTTCAGGATCTGCCCAGAATAAGTAGTCTCGCCACCAGACAATCAGAGATCTCTGCCTTCTGATAGTCTGGGGACACTCCTTTCTAAAGTGTGTTTAACACACCGGAGAAAACGGCTGGCAACAAAGCAACGGCTCTTGCATTTTTGAAAAGGACACGCCCTCCCAGAAATGTGTGCTCCCCCTTTTCTCGTCCGCAAGGAAACAAACACACAGAGAGCTTGAAAATGGATACCGAGAGATTTAACTCAAACGTGTCCTCAGTCCACAAGATTGTGGAAATGAAGGACTTACAGCGACTTTGTTTAAAACCTTTAACGCAGTCGGACTATGTTTACAAGCACAAGAGTTCAGCAAGCTACCGAAGGACCGCCCTGCAGATCTACTATTGGTTCTGCCACGTAGGAAGTTTTTTTAAACTCTGAAATTGTATCTGCCCATCTAAATACAA